GGCTGGTCGCCCCCCCCCCCCCCCCTTTACAATGTAGGTAAACCACTGAACCTACCGGTATTATTATTAAAAGTTGTTGGTGAACATGTAACCAATATACTCAAGTGCTCAAAAATTGCGCATTTAAACTTTTAAGGATTGAGGTGATGGGTTTGAAGTCCATTTCTGTAGTTGTCTTGTGTTCGTGAATTATCTGTTTTGGGTAGTTTTCGTTTTTCTTTTGTTATCATTAATTAGCAGGCTTCTATCTTTATCTCAATAGTTTCTTGGGTATAATTATTTATGCCAGGTCTGCATATTGTTGATTTCACATTCAGTTACACATTTCAGCAATTTGTTTCACTTGTATAATTAGTGTAAATTCACATTTTGTTCATGCTATAATTGAGTAAACCTTTTGTCCTTCCGTTACCGTCCTTCCGTTACCAAATCATAATCTGCTTAAAACGTTGTAATTATATTACCGAAACACTTAAAGTCAAATGAAAGGCGGTATAGTATAGATAATGCTTCAGGGATTCCATTTCTTACCTTTAAAATATAATTGCCCCATAAAATTCACAGAGTTTACGAAAAATGCGAGTAAGTTGGAAAACCCTTGTCCGTTTTACCGTCCTTCCGTTACCGACATCATTAATATTCATAATTCATAAACGGGAGGCATTCATGCCCCCCAAAAGTTTGGATAATGAAAGTAGCATTATATCAATACAATTTTGACATTTGTTTGCTGTAACTATGAACAGTGTCTGTGATACACACATTTGAAATTTTGTTTAATGAGTGAAAACGTCCTTCCGTTACCGTGGAATTGCCCTAATTCATTCACATTTTTCATTTTTATGACACCGTCACATCGTGTCTAAGGGTCACACTCCCCTGAAGCTGACCGACACTTCTTCATAGCTTACAGAAAAGTTCTCCCATCTTTAACTTTGGATAAAGCTTAAAAGTAGAGAAGATCATTTGCAGCTATCCAAAACGTAACTGACGAAATTACTGTTAAAAAATAAGCTTGGTTTACAGATAGTTAATAGCAATAAACTCTCCGTGAAATTATTTGTTTTTCTGGCATGCTGTCATTTTGAAGAAAACACTGAAAGAAGGTCACTTCTAAAGATGTGTCAAGTGACAAATTTTTGGACATTTCGGGTTGTAGTTGGTTTGTAATTGGGCGAATCCGTGAATGGGTGCAAGCGTTGACATGACGCACACGCGCATGTGGCTGCTATTATTCGTCAGTTCAGTGCGCGATATCGCCTAGCTGCGATCGCCTGGATGAGATGTTTTTCTCCGAATATAAAGCATTCAATGCAAGCTAAAACTTCACCAGGTTAGTTGTTCAGCACCCTTCTTTAGATTTTGAGCACTTTTGTTGCTTCAAACGAAGAAAAAAAAATCACAAATGACAAATGATCTACTCTACCTGAATGAGACCTACCGGTACGTGTCAGTAATCAACTATAGCAATTTCACCAGATGATTCAATGGGACTTCTGCGTTGATGTGTTTCATTTTTAAAGATCTAAGAGCAAACATGAAACAAACATCAAGTTCAGTTAACTCTCAAGAGTTTTCGGTTGGAAAAAGACCAGTGAGTAAATGTTTTCATCAGTTCTGCTTCACTACTGAAAAAATGGCTTGCATCAGACTCAGAGACCACACATAAAGGAATTCTCGATTAAATAACGATCTGCTCAATTCAGCTTTCAGATTGTGTTAAAATCCACACCACTTGAGTCCTGGAAAAGCGGCGAAATTTCAAAGAGTTGTTGCGGCCGACCACAATCCTGCATTAGTCTTGGGTCGTTGATCAAACTGTGTTAAAAGCTGGTGGTTTCGATAAACATGCTCTGTACTGCACATGGTGATCATGGGGATCAATTTCATTTTTTTGGTGGAACGTCAAACAATATCTGTGATGCTTGAATTGCTTTTGAACACCAAAATATTTCTTAGGGCAAATTTATCAGTGGTAAAGGCAACAGCCCTCAGAGCTAGAGGGGGCTTACAATATTTATTCCAATACCCAGGATGTATGGTTAATTTGACTAAACTCCGCAGTACTGATAAGATCAATTAAGCTGAAATTTGCAGCCGGTTCAGATGATTTTCACAGAGAAGCGGGGAAATTTACGTAAAGTCTTCAGTGGATGAGTAATAATAGCATTTCACAGTTTCCTGAAAATGAACACGAACATGCCGTATGAGCCAACTCTTTGAAGACAATTGTGACGACGATTCTTAAAATCTCATTTTTGGACGAGAGAGGTTTTCAGGTCATTGCGTTTAAATGGTGATACATGAACGGATTGAGCAATTTCAGTATTTTTTCCATCTAAAACTAGTTTATGAAATTGGCTTTCCAGTCATTTTTTTTGTTTGGTGCTACATATTTTTTAAATATACAGTTTGGGGGTTTGGGTTCCGCTTTTTTTTTTACTCACCCCAGTGTATAACGTTGCAAATTTCTGGCATTATTTGAGCAAAAGTTTTTCATGGACAGTAACTGAACATTAAAAAAGATCAAAAATCTGTAAGTTTGGTTTGAAACACAAATTTAATATGCAGGACTTCTTTTCAGAAGACCAGTAAGTGAAGGAGCAGCAGCATTTAACCAAGTTGGTCTTTTGAAAGCTTACATTGTACTAGTTCAAAAAAGACACGCTCTACTCTTTCATAACTAAATGCAAACAAATTATTCATTGTAAATTGTCCCCCTTCCTGACATTATACAGAACTTCTGAATCCCAGCAGTTAGTTTCTCAAGCACCTGTGTTCATGTATTTGCCGTTCCCAATGTCAATAACCCTGTCCCAATTTCCATGTTTGATCAACAAATCCAACACGAGATCATGATGTCGTAGGCCTACAGCCGGTGTAGTGTGAAACTTGGACTCTACCAAATACGGACTCATTGACTGTATTGCGCATGCCTACATGTAAGTGATGATGCCAGTAATTAGGCCAGTGGTACATGTACATGTATGTACATGTAGGTTACGTGTGAGGGTTTAAGAGAATATTTAACATTTGCAAACATCAAAAAACAAAACTAGCAAATTATTATGTAATACCTTACTGGACTGTTAGTGAATGACAGTCTAAAGCATCCTGTAAAATTGTGGCACCTGGTGTGCTGTCATTTTCCAGAAAAGTGGTATTTTTGTGTCAATTTCCAATGCTGGTCGGTTGGTTACACCTCCATGTTCCGACACCCCTATGTTCCGACTGCACATATTCCTATTCCTAACCCTAACCCTAACCCTAACCCTAAGCGGGAGTAACACAATCTAGGTTGTCGGAACATAGGGGTGTCGGAACATAGAGCAGTCACCGGTCGGTTGACCATCGTTGGAAAAAAAACTGGCTTTTTTCATATACTGCCTCAATTTACAATATTTAAATAGGTATTTGCTAGCTAGACTGGTTCCCTGACCTTACAATTTCCGTTTCATCTTAAGTGGGGTCAGGGAACCACACTACACATACAGAAATATTTTTGTTTTACTTGGTTTTGCAGCATCTACGAACACAAAACTTCAAACAAGTGAGTGTAATAATATTTGCTTTAAAATACTAACCCTCCAAATCCATCCATTTCTGAAAATTACAACCAAAGCAAATGTTGGATATTCCCTTTAAAATCCATGTAAGGTAAAAAGACCAGATTTTACAGGAGTCAAAATTTCCTAGGACACCGGGCTGAAAGAATAAGATTAATGAGTAAACCCAAAGCAACAATTATCGTGAAGAGCGGAGATAACTTACAACACGGGTCACAGCAGACCACTCCAGTTCCGACCAAAGTTCCACTAACTAAAGAATTATCATGTACTCTGGGACTTTTCATAAACCGCTACATGTACATGAGTGACACGGCCAGGAAGCTTGTGTGATTGAAAACAGTATTTGGACAAAGTGGTACAAATTATTAATTACCTTTTAATGAAGTGTTTTCTTCCAGCAGGGTTAATGTATTATCTTTGTCGGGATAAATGACATTTTTTCCCCGGTGAATTTTCAAGTGTTTTTTCATGGGCTTACATGTGCTACATTATTAGGTCAAGGCAGGAGTTTTGTTTTGTGTGGGAGGAAGAACATAAAAACTGTCAACTTTGGATAAAAAGTTAGAGCACTGCAAGGGTTTCTATAAAGTTAAAATTATTCTTTGTACAAAGTATGTTTGTTTACTGCAGCACATCAAAAAATTGAACATAATATGCAGTACCGGTTTATTACCCTAAACCCCTCGGCATTTGTGCTAGGACGCAACCTCAATCCTGCAAAATCCTCCAACTGCCTCCGTGTAAAAATTGCATACAGCCTCCATCGTCCAAAATTATACATTTGTACATTATTTCTTGAATGTAGTACTTGGAGGGATGACCACTGCCTCAATCCTGCACAATCCTCCAGCAATCACTGTCAATATGTTGAGGCAGAGCCAGTGACATACTGGAGCAGTGCGGAGGATTATAGTATAGGCCTAAATTTATGCACGGCTGAGTTTTAATCATTGTTAATGCGCCTATCAAAAAACAACCTTGACTCTAATTTGATCGAAACTAACCATGTCTACCATGCGTACACTGGCTACACTACACAATCGCCGTTTATTTGAGGTTTAACAATAACTTATAATAAACACGGTTTAAAAAAATATGAAAATATGCAGCATCTGGGTAATGAATTATTTCCACAATTCAAAACAAAACATCTATGTATCTCCGTGACCATTTATTCCAATCAATGTCGTGAATTGACATGTTGAAGGTTACATGTGCAGGCCGCGCCTACGCAATATAACAATGTGCACATTACAATACATGATCATCAATGATTCATCAATGCGCACAAAGTACAACATGACGAACATCAGAATATCGAGTCGTCACAACGATTTTATTATTCGTAAAACTTTTAAATAAAGTTCACGCACATCACGAAATTTAACAGATCACGGTTACCTCCCAAATCACAAACATATACACACTTACCCCATGCAAGAATTTGTCGGAAACCCTGCAGAATTCCGTCAATTCACGTGAAATTCCAGCGACGATCTGCGTTGCTAGTGCACACACGCATTGCACTTCGCACAAAAATGACGCTTACCCAAAGACTGGTACCTTACTCCATGCAGCCTTTGCTCCGTGACATCAGCGGCCTTGGGGAGGCACCAGTCTACGTAATATAATCTCTTCGCGTAAACAATAATCAGACACGATTGTGCAAGCGGCTTACCGTTACAAAAAGACTTCTTTTCTTTGAATTATTGTTGGTAGATCAACTTTCTTTGTGGGCAACATCCTTTGTTGGATTGTCGACAGTTGTTATCAAGCAGGGTCAAGGAGGTGTATTTGTCTTTCAAGTGTCGTGTGGCTGCGGGTGTTGAAATCTCTACCCTGCGGTTTTTGCGGCTAAGAATAAGATATCCCGTTATGATTTTAGGAAAGTTTGGGTGTGGTTTATGGGCCGGGCGTCGGAATTCCAGCGGATGGGCGATCCGGGGTACTAGAAGCATTGATGTCCTTTTATCCCTTTTCTAAATCATTTGTGGGGTACCGTTCCCTTGTACGAGTACCCCACAAGTAGCTCTGGTGTGGTACAGGAGCGCAAAAAAATGAACTTTTACCATATCCCAACTTACTTTCTGGCGCGTCTCAGTTTCGTAAAATAGGTATGTTGATTGCTCTTTAAAAACTAGAAATGACACATTTTGGCCTGGGATATATAGTAAAACAAACTTATACGGAAATATACTAATCACCAGATATTTCTCATTAAATCATCCCGCTATTTCATTTGTAGAATTGTTGATGGCATGTTTGATACACGGAATTGTTTTAAATGTTGACTTATAACTTGATTTCATCCACCAGCATTGCTGTTTGTTGGCAAAAATAGCTTACACAAGAATCTACCGTGACCCTGGATTCGACCCCATTCAAGGCCATAAAATATTACAAACACCAAAATATATCACACAAACAAAAAATGAATCGGCTACTTAATAATGAAACTACATAATGGTGACAGAAGCAGCTGCCTCGCGCCACGAGACAAATTGATTTATGGGGTTCTTCGTTGGCTGAATATACCTTATATAATAAACAGTTTCTTCAGTCCTATAATGTAATCTATTTCAAACAAAGGGAACAGAAACTCAAATTAAACAGCTGCGGTTTTCATTCTGCCTCGTTATGGAAAGTCCTTTGTCCTCCATTTTGGTTCGCCTAGCTAGCTTTCTGTGTTTGTCAGCGTTTTAATCAAACGAGACCCGTTTACCAGATGTCATAGGGTGGAATGTCACGTGAAAAATAAATTATGATGCCGTACCGCAGAAAGTAGAGGACCATTTATCAATCGTAGAGCAACGCGGAGTCAGAAAAATTGATCGTTGCTGCCCAGATGGAATAGCGCCACCTGTCGGTGGAATGAGCTGTTTAACGGCAAGAGGGCGCTGTTCAAGTTCACCGGTGTATGAAAGGCGCATGTTTGGGTGGGGTAATGCGTTTTTAGTCTAACGCGATCTTCTGTTCTTCTTATTTTAATGTTTACTGCTATTGGTAACGGCTGATAATTAAAATCTATAAACAAATGGTCAAATCTATTTTAATTAATTAATTTCAAACATTGCGTGACCGAAGTAAATCAATAGTTCTTTACTTTTGATGACAAAATCTGGAAACACTTTTCATTAATCTTAGAACTTATTTGCTGTCATTATTAATTGCCTTTAACCATAATCACAGCACGAAATATTCACTGACGCCGAAAAAGGACAAACTAGTGAGGGGAATAAAAGACAAAATGATGAGGTTTGGTTTGAATATGCTTCAGACCATATCAAACTCGTGACTAAACCAAATCACCGAATTCCTGGACCATTTTCCTCTTTAGACGCTCACACATCAGTTCTCATTCACAACAAAATCACGAACATAGATTAAGCCCGGGGGCAAAACCGGGTCGGCAAGTACAAGAGGAAAGGAGGGAAAAGGGAGAAATTTACAAAATTAAATTCCTTTTTCTGCTCGACTTGACATCGCGGTGAAGTCTACGATAATCATCGCTACCCGAGCCGACGGGGGTAGAGACGGCGGGGGATTTAGGGCATGCATGGGGAATTAATACAAGGCCCGGACTGCCTCTTTACCGTGCTTTATAAGAAAGGTATTGAACCGATTGTAATTGCATTCATCCAATCAGGCAAAATTAGATTTAATGCATTTTTTTTCTTTCATATGGAGGTTTTGAGACCATCCTCGGAATAATGCAGGCTGCAGGATGGGTATAAACGTACCGTAAGCATGGTATCTTGTCTTCGTAGTTGCATGTCTTTATATTCGTGTTATATCCCTTGGTCTGGTTTTGTTATCTGCGCAACTATAACTTTATTTGTCACCCAGTGTTGATTCCTTGTGTTTTTAGCTGACTATTACAATCACACTCTGAAAAAGGGTTGCATTCTACCCTTAAGGAGACGTTTTTCCTCATAAGTTATATCTTAGGGAGACAATGTAGATTAAGGCGACATTTCAATGTCTCCCTAATGTCACAACTCCTATTTATACCGTCGCAAATAGGCTAGATCGATTGCTCGTATCGTGGTCCAAAACATAAACATACCAAAAATGGGGGGGGGGGGGATAAGGGAAAATTGGGGTTAGGGGTCATTGAAGTTGAAAAACATTAATGTTGTGCACAATCCTATGGGAATGTTTCCCTAGGGTACCATTTCCCGTAATAATAATTTTAGTGTTTTTTACCACCCTTTATCAGAAGACATTACCTTAATGTTGTAGCCATATATATGATGACAATTATTGTTACTAGACAGAAACTGAGATCAGTGCCGTGGAGCCTTCCAAAAAAAATTTGAAAAAAAATTCAGGAATATTCCTCACACTGTTATAGCCCCGCGGCCTTAAATTGAAAAATAACAATCGATCCCCCTCGATAGTAATTTATATAAACCCCGCCCACGATTTTCCACTCTCAATTCAGCCGCGAATCCTTTATCCTATGTGTGCACGTAGGATACCTTTTTTCATCTGTAGTTGTGCCTCTGGCCCAACATTCTTCATTCCACATTCGCCATTTTATTCTTGAAGTCGTAGATGTTATCTTTCTCTAGTAGCTCTCCCTTTCTGCTCAGTCTTCGAGTCGAACCCGTGTTGTACGATTGGCGATATGAATCCCCTTATCCCTTAAGATCAGAGGCTGGCAAAAGAATGGTTCTAACCCGCCATCGCCACAGGCAAAACGCGGCAGATTTTTGTTGTCCCTCGCGAGTTGTTAAAACGAGCCTAACAATTTCCCAGCAAAGTCGACCGATATTTTACGCAGAGCGCGCCGTCATTGCGCGAATGTTGTCACCAATTTCTGCAAGACTGAAGAAATGTGTTTTCCGTCCCATGCATTATGTGAGTCACATCAAACGCGGTCCCTGATCCAATCCCCATAGACGAAACTCTGCTCTGGTCTGTAGCATGCGGTGTGTTTTTCGTCCAAAATAATTATTCTAATGTCTGGTGAAATCATTTTCCGCCGCACGAGTTTCAATAATAAAACGTATTCGAGTTCTGGTGATGAACTTAATTCCTTGTAAAAAATGTGTTCAACCCATTAAGAGTTGGCGCATTACTAAGTTTAGATTTTAATGAAAAACGGAGGGTGGCATTGGGGATAATTGCTTTGATATTTTCATCCTGAAGTCTTTGGCGGAATGAATGGCGCTTTTATTCTTCCCTGCACTGCAGCCTTATTATACGATCCTTTCTACCATACGCTAAGCCACGGTTTATAGACTGCAATTTCTAATAAAACGGCACCAGACCATAAAAATGCCAGGTCTATCAGGTCACCCTATTCATGCAGTAGGCCACTAAATCCAGCGCCAATAATTCGAATTTCCACGTAACGTGCATAACATGTACTTTATCTCTAACCACAAGTATTTGCGAAATCGTATGGATATTAAAGTTATACAACAATTGCCTTTAAAGAAAAGAAAAATAGCTAGGCAAAGGGAGCGATGACTGTATTTATGGGCTCTAGTTGGCACTGTATGAGACTGGAAAGTACTATGTCTGTGCACTATAGGCCAATGCAGGCCACGCAATAAATCCATCATAATTCGATTATGCTAGATCTAGGATGACATTCCTGAACCACAGAATGGGAATAATATCCTGAGTGGTATATCGATAACAACAGGAAGTGCCGATAGGTAAGTCGCAAGCTTGAGACTAGTGGAGAATGATCCAAATCGGGTATTGCGGTATGGCTTTGGCTATTTGGCTGCCTGACAGTCTGAGTCGGGTATTTTTGTTGCGGCTACGGCTCATCAGTTCTTGCCATTTCTTGTGCTACCGTACGTGCCATAGCCTTACAACACCTATTTCCGACACGTCCTACAGGACTCACATTAACATTAACTAATTAGTGGAAGTACACAACAAGCTGGCGAAAAAAATGCGACGTCGATGGCACATTATGGAACACCATACTTTTCGTAATGTTCATTTCCTCCTTCTGGAAACCGTCCAACCACTACAGAAAATACCACTTGATAACAAAACTGCACATATCTTGCCTCGCCGTTTACAAAATTTTCATAAACAACTTTACGACTTGTTACTAACAATTTTTAGAGTGCATTTACGGACGACGGCATGGCATTTTTCTCAATGTTTGTAAAATATTTTTCGTCATTTTTTTCGGCGACCGACCGACCAACACCAAAGTGACTTGTAGAAGCTCCTGCCAGAGCTTAAAAATTAAGACGAGATTTACTGGAAAGCAAATTTCATGGTTCAATACGTCACTTTGCCATCCACTGATCATCTTCATCGATTCCAATCTCAATTTCCCCGATTCGTACAGAATCAGCCGTGCCTAGCCTGCGATGATGTCATATCGATATTTTTTATTGATAAGTCATAGAGGTACCACTCAGCATCGGAGAGGGGCACCACGGTCACAGAGCCCGATATACAAATGTAATGAAGCGATATATCATTTCCAGAAACGCCATTCTACTTACCGAAACACGAACCAACAACATTGTGTTCATGTACCTCACGATCAAGGCACCAGACATATTGGAAAGGTTCCATCACA